AGGTTGAAAACAGTTGTGCTGCTTAACATTTCTGTTGAAACGGTGATATATTTTTTTCAGGATTTTTTGATGAATAGAAAGTTCAAAAGAACAGCATTTATTTTAAATAAAAATCTTTTGTAAAATTAATAAATATCTTTACTGTCACTTTTTTTTATCAATTTAATGCAACCTTGCTGAATGAAAGTATTCACTTTTTAAAGAAAAAAAAAAAGAAAGAAAGAAAGGAAAAGAAACTTTCTAACCACAAAATTTTGGCCAAAGGATCTGGCAAATAGAAAAGGATTTTGCTCAGCAAGAACAGTAATTAGAGTTCATATAGCCATCACATTGGTATTACATAATTACATAACAAAATACTCTGCATTTTATATGCAGCTGAGCGTACGGTTACTCATACTGCAGCATTTATTTAAAGGGGTCATATGACGTTGCTAAAAAAGAACAATATTTGGTGTATTTGGTGTAATGAAATGTTTATGCGGTTTAAGGTTAAAAAAAACACATTATTTTCCACATACTGTACGTTTCTCCTCTATGCCCCGCCTTTCTGAAACGCGTCGATTTTTTACAAAGCTCATCGTTCTGAAAAGCAAGGTGTGCTCTGATTGGAGGAAACAGTCCTCGTCCTCCATAAAATGCGTTGCACACATCTGAATATTTGGTTTGAACTGTTCTGGAACAGTGTTGTAAATACAACTTAACCACTGATTTCTAGTCGTGTCCTCTTTTGGAAGACCAAACAAAGTAGTTTCGCTTTCACAACGAAACACACAGCGCCTCCACGACATGCCGGCGGCGGCAACAATACTACAGCAAGAATCAAAGTTACGCCGCCTTTCTTTGCGTGAACATTTGGGCGATGTTATGCAAATCTTCCCACATCGTGACGTAGCCATGTGGGGGCGTGTTAGAACGAGGCGTTTTAGGAGGGCGTGGACAAGTCTTAACTTTCATAAAGAATATCTCTTTGGGTTTGAGACTTTAGTCTTTGCAACTTTAGGGATCTTATCTATTCACAAACAGCTTGTAACACTCCAAAGAGAAAGGAAAACTTGAAATACCATCATATGACCCCTTTAAACTACCATAGAGAACCTAATGTTGATCTCATGCTGTGATTTACCCCCAATATTCTCAATGATTGAGTCTGTAAACATCTGTGACAGAGACCCTTACATTTTAAATCAGAGATATTATGTTCTGATAATTATGCTGATAATTATAATTAATATTCATATGTAGTAATTAGAATCTCTGTGTGAAAGTCTTTCACATGCAGTAGTCGTTTCTCGAAGCTATTTCTGCCAGACAGCTGTTGAGTTAAATGTGACACAGAGCTGTGGTTTTTCTACATGCAGCTGCTTCCCTCTGCTGGAGAACTGGTGGAACAGTGCAGTCAGGCCCCTGACCCCGCAAAACAGACGGACCCTCATTCAGGTCAGAACCTCTGCTGTCATATTTAAATTTCACTTATTTAATTTCTGAATGTCTTAAAATTAAGAAAGAACTGGCTGTTATTTTTTATTTAATTTATTTTGACATTAATTATTATTTAATATAATATCTAAAAAAAGCTCTGGCATCAGTACATGCCACTCGGCTTAATATTATAAATTAAATATCCAATCCAGCAAAATGTGCCTTAAGTATCCAAATACGTTTAGGAGCCTCTGTATATTAAAATTTAAAGACAGTCAGTTTAATGAAAGTTTAATCCACTCAATTTAAAAAGACTTTTGCACTGTTCTTTAGATAACTCATATAATTTTTGATATTCTTGAGCACATCCACTTGTTGTCTTGTCCATGAATAAGGCATTCAGAGAATCATTTAATACAAATGTCACCTCAGACCTGTGTAGTCATTAGCTTATTTTTGTCTTAAAAAATAGCCATGTATTTCATAAATCTACTACAGTTTAAAATGGCGAAAAAGGTTCCAAAGACCGCTATAAAAAAAATGAGCAAGGCTGCTTAAAAATACCTCATTTTTACTTCGACAGATACTGTGCAGTGTCAGATTTCACTAGAAGGGAGGGATGCAATGACAGAGGCAAAGTTGTATGTAAGTCAGAAATACCGAGGAAAAGAAGAGAATTTGAGAAGGAGAGAAGATTATCAGTGACACGGACACAAGAGTGTTTTCGTAGTGTCTTTGACTCGAAGAGGATCTAAAAATCAACAAACTCTCCTAAAATCAGCTTATTTTATGGAGGTGAGTTAAATGGGGGCATATTCATATGTGCGTTATTGCCACTGCAGACATTTTTAAAAGATATGTATTGATTTAATCCTATCTTCATGCCTTGTTAAAAGTTAACGGATTATCATTATATGGATTTTTATTATTTAATAACATTAAAGGGATAGTTCACCCAAAAATGAAAATTCTGTTAATTACTCACCCTCATGTCGTTCCAAACCCGTAAGACCTTTGTTCATTTTCGGAACACAGATTAAGATATTTTTGATGAAATTCGAGAGCTTTCTGACCCTGCATAGACAGCAATGCAACTGGAAAGTTCCCAGGCCCAGAAAGGTAGTAAGGACATAGTTAAAATAGTCCATGTGACATCAGTGGTTCAACCGTAATGTAATGAAGCTACGAGAATACTTTTTGTGCTAAAAGAAAACAAAAATAACAACTTTATTCAATGATTTCTTCTCTTCCGGGTCAGTCTCCACCACCATTCACGAGAGTACCATGATGCATGCGTGTGGTGCTGCTGACGCAGGAGCCGGCATTCTGACATAGAACACACATGCGCTATGCCTTGTTTGCAAGCAGAGGAATGCACACGCATGCGTAGTGGTACTCTCGTGATTGCGCTATTCTGCTATGATCCATTGTTAATGAAGATGAAAAAACAGTGCCTCAGGTCCAGAGTTTTGCGACCTTAGGGAGCGTGATGGATTGTAGCGTGGTAGAAGACTAGTTAGGTATGCAGGAGCTAACCCATTAAGGGCCTTATAGGCAAGTAATAATACATGTACTCCTTCAGCACACTAAAGAATAAACAAGCAGGTACAATAACATGTATAAAAGACTTCACTGTGATTCACAGTCCATAGCCTAAGGCAATAGCAGAGTCCTTGACCAACAGAAATGTGTGTGTGCTTTAGGTGCTCTTGGATGGAGGATTCCACTGAGCAGCTCCAGACCTGGAGAACATCATGTCATACACCCACAGCAACTTCTAGATGGCAAGGTGAGACCAAGGCAGAACAGCATATTACCATATTACTCATACTGTTGTTGCAGTATGTATTATTTTTTACAAAGTAGCATACAATGTACACTATCAGCTACATACAAATTGTCTGTGCAATTTCCATACAAATCATACAAATCTTAATCTTTGAACGTGACTCAATATAACAGTGCGACTACTACAAAAAAAAAAATGCTTTTACTGTTATTGCTCTTTACCGTTTTGCTCTCGCGGTACTTTGAATGCACATGTGATCGTAGGGAGCGGCTGCAGCGCCGATCAAAATTGGACAATGTAACCAGAATGCATTGTTTTTGACAGGCGGCAGCCGATTGCGGCGCCGCATGAAGTCGAACAAGCCTAATAAGCAATGGAGTTTCTCAAGCGTGTTTGTTTGTTCCCCTCATTTCGGTGACGAATGTTTTATAACAAGGTACATTCTGACACTGGATTTGCACATCGTTTGGTACTGGAAGATGGAGAAGCCCCAGTGATAAAAGATCCCGGTCATATAGGAACTGCTGTAAAACTGCATCAAATTTTTAGTAAGTGTAAGTGCTCGCGACTCTTCAGCTCTGCCCACGGCTCGCTCCAGGAGCTTGGCTGTTGTCGGAGAGAATCGCAAGCTGTATCTTTCTTTTATAAATCTGATAAAACTGAAGACTCTTCGGAGATTTGAATGATGCAATACTACACTATAGGTATTCAAGATTAACATAAGATTGGCCAAAACTGTGTGTGTTATGTCCCCTTTAACCTAGTCAAGTCGACTTTATTTTTATATAGTCTCAGCCTCAGACGTCACGCCCTCGGACCGTTGGCTGAACGTCTGATGCATACGGCACACAAAAGTGGAAACACTTCAGGAGTTTCGAAGTCGTCATCGGATTGGTTGAATTATACAGGATTTCCGGGAGACGTGTGTGTCAAGTTCTTTAACGTTCCGCCTGGAATCAAAGATGCCGTGACGCCAAACCCTTACGAAAGAAGAAAGCCGTCGTGTTTACAACTGTGACGATGAGCGCTTATCAGGATCAACTAAACGCTCACTTTAAGATAGTAGAAAGTGTTTGTGAGATGGACTGTAAAGTTAAAAACTTGATTTCAAGAATGTGTCTTCGGACTGTTCTGAGACCGGCCAGAACCTAAACTTTGGAGAAAGTGTTTGGATACTGTTTCATTCAGCTTCATCTACAATATTTATGAAAGCAAATTACCTTACATCTCAATGCAAAATAATGAAGGTATACTACATGAATATTAAGTGGATCATGCATGTTGCTTGGTAACTACTGTTTGGTCCAGTTAAGTCTCTTATTAAATATTTATGATATTCATGGTTGGTTAATCTGCCCGCTGATTAACACATGACTTGTAAAATGTTACACTATCAACCAAAAAATGATGCCTACCAGGCAAACATCACACAAAATTAATATTTAAGATCAAAGCTTTCATCTTGGTAGGATTTGTAAATTAACATGCAGACATCATGCAGAGGTACTGTAATTAATGTGTAGCTCATAATACTAACAAACTTTATATTGTGTTGAACTCTTAATTTGTTAAAATACATTTAAAATGTTTAATGAATGTCATAGTTATGAAGTTTGATTAATATATTTTCATAAATATTTATATATATATATATATAACAGTCTTTAGAAAGCTGAAAAATATAATATTAGCACATTTGTTCCCAATTTAATTTTACTTTATATATATATATTATTTCCAATATTATGTTTAAAACACCAGCTTAAAAACCTCTGGACTACAGACAGCTGAATCTGTTTTCTATCTGTTCTAATGAAAATCTTGTCCTCTCCAGCACACAGACAGAAGAAGGTGGAACTAATGCAGCCTTGTAACACAGAGTATCCCGGCTTCATGTACGACACTTCCATCAGAGAGACCAACAGCATCATCAAATGTGGCCGTTGTCAGAAGTACGTCCATCAGTCAGACTGTCTTCAGATGAGTGGATTTGTGCCAGTAACAATTTGTCAATGTCTCTCTCTTTCTCTGTCATATTTCAGGATGTTTGTCCTACAGCAGGTTCCTAACAGTAACCTGGTCATGCTGGTGGTCCAGGCCGACTGCGACTGCTCCCGACAGTACGCTCCCATTACACTCGCGCCCAGAGAGGTCAAATATATCCTTCCATGATGATGAGTTTCTTGTATTTGAAATGTGGTTTGGTTAAACCTTGTGAAACTGAGGTATTCTTAACTCCTTTGAACATAACGCCACAGTTAAGTGCAACAGGATGAAATCTCAGAAGATTCGCAGACGACCAGAGTCTTGTCACGCATACCATCCTCATGTAAGCCACCACAATCATACAGTGCATGAACAAGTGTGCATATATATGACATACGGTAATATTAAATTAAATGACTTTTTTTGTTGTATTTTTGTTCTTACAGGAAAATGCCAAGGATTGTGGTGGAGCATGTGGGATAGCAGTATCTCTCACTCTCTACTTCATATGTTTGGCCACTTCATTGGCTCTCCACTGAATAACAAAATATCCTTCTGCCATGACTGCTGTCTCATAGTGGACCCTAGGACCACAAAACAGGACACTTGTGATGGTCAACTATGGATCTCTAGCATCAGGAATTCAACAACAAAAAAAAGGTTTACGCTACGTAGTATTTGTTATTATTATTTAAAGGGATAGTTCACCCAATAAAAGTGGAATGACATAAGGGTGAGTAAATGATGACAGAATTCGTTTTTTTGATGAACTGTCCCTTTAATTTGCATCATACACTGTAGTTCTGCCCCCTATTGGACTCAATATGACACTGCACAGATGATATTTTTCTCAGCGTGAGCTACAGCCAGAGATATAATCTTAGATTGTCTCGTGTGACTTGATGTTATACATCAGATCTGCTATTCTCTTAATTTTTTATATGTTTAGGATTACGATGAATGTTTCTAAGCAAATATAGAGCAGTGGCAACTAAACTGCTCTTTATTTTCATGATGGTTACTACTTAATGTTTTTCATTGAGCCACATTTTCAGAAACTCTGTAATGAAAAGCATTTCATATGTTGTGTGAGAAGGATAGTTTAATAATTTTTTTAAACGTATATATGTGTGTATTTTAGTATCTGTAAGCTTATTGATCCGAGACCAATAGTCTTTAAATATGGATTGACAGTGGTTGAGAAATGTTTTGTGTGAGAACAGAAAATAGTGAACGATGATGGAATTACTCAGTGTTTGTATGATTAAAAGTGCAGAAAGTGTGAACAATTTTTTATTTGAACGTTTTGTTGAAATTTGTGTTTATATACAAAAATGTCCGCTTACACAATTAATATAGTATAATAGAATTAGTTGAATTAGTAAACTGTTTTTAATTGTTTTATTTAAATTGTTTAACTCTACAAGGCCATTCA